TGAAAATATTGACGAAATTGTGAGTATATCCACTATCAGAGTGAGTACGTGACAATATATAGAAATATAATTTTAGCAGACAGTGTCTAGGTTTAGACATTGCGCGTTTGAAAAGCACACCTAAAACTGAGAAGCAAAATATGCATTAAACACGATTTACAATTTTAAATAATTTCATCTGTAATATTATAAGTATTTTGAATGAAATTGTATTTTAATATTGTATTATAAATACGCACACTACATTTCTATTAATAAAAATCAACGTTTTTATAAACAGGAAGCTCTTTTAAAAACATTGCCTGATATAAATATAAGTCTGCAATATATACACAAGCATCTGATATAGAATGTGTATATGTTGTGCGAATTGCGGATAAATAAATTGAGGAACAACGTCTAAGGAAATAATTTTAATTAAACGCACTTAATAATACGTTATACAACTGTTATGTTGTAGATATTATAGAAAATGCTAATACACTGTTATACACCAGAAAATATATGTTATACTCATTATTTATACGATTAAAAGGTATATTGACAATGTTTTTTTTTTTATAATTGGGCGTTTCAAAACAACACAATAACTCAACTACAAAAATTGAACCGAAAAATGTTTGAACAATGATAAATATAGTATGAGTGGGACGAGATACCTATAATAAAAACGATAATATCATAATGATATTGGGTATAATGGTTCTGAAAAGTATAATTAATGCGTTAGACCACGTGTGGGTCTTTCTCTATGATAGGTCTGTTGATCGAATATCGCACGCGTATTAAAAATATAGTTGTGTATTATAGATTTGTAACTCGAGCAGGACGAAAAAATTATTAAAAAATTGTATTTTTACATAAAACAGTTATTATGTTGCTCTCATCTCATAAAATCCAATACCTTTGCGTATCTTTGAATGTACTGATTTACGGCTCTCGCTGCGCAATACGGATCTCTGACACATCTTTCGAACGCTGAAACGAAAAGTTTCCCAACATGTAATGACACGTAAATAATTATATATAGTGTGTCAATAGGATAAATAATCGCTTAAAAAWTATATGCATCATATTGTTTTTTAAAACATTGATTAGTATACGACACAGTACCTCCAATTCGGTTAGGATCATCTCCTTGAAGCACGGGCGTACCAGCATCTTGCCAATAAATATCACTCAACAAGAACACACCGCAATATTTAACATCATTTTGTTCTATGCATTCGAGTGTTTGATTGCACCCAGAAGACGCTTCGCACATGCATCCAATACATTTTTCCGTCCATCCGGGTGGAAATTCTTCTGCAAGWGACATTATTTTTCAATTAATACACGTGCACTTACACTGTATACACGAAACAACATTAGGTTAGATAGACATTATGATTTTATTACATACTTATAGTATATTAAACATATATGCACTTATCGGTAAAAGTTGAAAAGATTCACGTTTATAATTCATTATTATTAAAATTTTAATAATTCATATTGAACTCTTTTTATATACCGTTAAAATTATATTTTATCGAATACTATAATAATAATAATTCAACACTTAGAATGTATATATTACAACCAAGAACCTATACAATTTGGCTTTTTTTTCAGAGCCTCTTTTATATGTAATATATACTATGAATGCTACTAGGACATTTTCATATGAAGTAAAAGAAACTGCTACCTTTTGAGTTAGTTGGGACCAATCAATAAACTACGAATAAAAGGTAGAGGGTTGTATGATGTCGTTAACTTAATGGTATACTATAAATTTGAGCCCGGAAGCCACTTGCATTGAATTTCTGAAGTGCGTTGAAGTTAATCTATTATTGACAAAAACATCTCTTGAAACTTCAATATAAAATTATAATATCAAA